ATTTGGAGTCCTTCTAAAGCAAATGAACAAATCAAGATTCAAAGAAAACAAATATGTTGAAGGTCTAAGAAAAGACAAATAAAAAGGGTATCAACTTAGAAATAAAAAACCCATCAACAATATTCGCATATATGTGAAATCAAATAGTAAGACAATTGATTAAAAGTATATTTACATACTTTAAATGAAAAAAAGGACATAAAATGTCTACAAATTAGACATACCAGTAGAATCAAAACCACAAGATGGAACAGTAATGAGTAAAAAGCTCACCTTCTGGTCAAATGTGGTGGTTGTCACATTTTTTCATTATCATTTCTTCTTCCTATGTAGTACTTATAAACATCAACATTAGATACACATACGTATAGATACAGAAACACACACATAAATACGTACACCTACATATAGATACAGACAAACACATACAAACATATACACACACATACATGGACACCTACACATACCTCTGCATCACATTTTTTTCTCCCATCGTCTCCAACCTTCTTCAAACCTCCAATTTCAAGTTCATCTGTTAAGCACACACATAATTCAGATCCTTCATGTATTCAGGTTTTCACTTTCCAGGTCCTAAGATTCTAGAATTAAGTTCTTCAAAAGAAAATATTTGTATTCAAAAGTAATATACCAATAATTAGATCTAGAGAAGAAATCCATCAATGAAGATCAAATCAGACCAACATCCATTCATCACCTAAAAACCCATACAAAAGACTATATCAGTTAGCATGTTGAATGATTTATGTATAATTCAAATATTTAAAATAAAGTACAGCCACACAAAATGAAATAAATTGAAGGTGTCATCTTGGTATGTGGATTCCGATGGTAACAACAACGAAGGCACAATAAGTTGTTTTGGGGCTAAACCTTGCGTCCTCATTTTCTTTGTAAGAGCCCTAATTTCAGACCATTCAGATAGACTGAAATTCTAGTTATTTGATATTGACCGAAGTTCCAATTATTTGGATTTGGGTCCAATATCGGTTAACATACAGAACAACAAAATGAAACCAAGTAAAAAAAACAAACCTTTCCAGCAAAATCTTGGAAGAATTGAAGTTTCTTTTGATTCCTAGCACATAAAACTAAAATCCACAGCAAATTCGGTAAACAAACAGGCCATTATCATCAAAAAAGATATGTTAAAGGCAAGCTTACCTTGATTTCTCTCTGATTGAGGCGTCTCTTGCCCAAAAAGAGGCTGATGTGCAGACCTACGAAATCGACATACACACACAATTAAACATACATACACAGTTAATCATACATATATATAGATCTGGACCCAAATGCACTAAATCCACACAAACATAAAATTAAACCCATACCTGTAGAGAGAGGGTGGTGGTTTTCAGCGAAAGAAAAAGAGGGAGAAAGCGAGAAAGACCAAGGTGTATTGACAAATCTGAGGCCCATATCGATTAAACGATACAAAATCTTCATACCTGGGAAAGCTATTATTCAAAAAATCATATCTTCAAGACCTGCTATTGACGTTTGGAGAAAAAGGGGTTAAAATAAACTACCAAAAAACAAAATATAAACTCAAAAAGTCGATCTATACCTCAAAAACTCCAGCTTAGATTTGGAAGCTTTGATTTGCGATTCCAACTGACGATACAAACAAATAAGAAGTAAGAAGAAGGAGTCGACTGATGCAGTGGTGTTTAATCATTGTTGGGATGCTAGTTATCTCTGAATCCACTGTAATCGTTGCGTAGGTGTGGATGGGATTTAGATGATAACCTGAACAATTCGAGATAATCGGTGTTTTAAGAGAGAGAGAGAAATAAAGGAAATCAAGAAGAGGATTCTTACCTGAATCGGAAATTCTAAGAACCAGACATGACCAATGAACAAACTATCTGTTGGCGGTCCAACATAGGACATAATGATAGCGGCTAGGGTTTTTCAGGAAGAATGGCTTGTCCTGATGTTGAATGGAGTGAGCGAGAAAGAGAAATAAACGCCATTTTGGTTCCAAACATGAAAATTCGATTTCAAAATTATGCGAATTGCCCGCCTTGGATTATAACACATTGGCGCTCCGTGTGACAGTCCCGTGTTTTTAATCCCCACCATCAAATAATATTCAATGGTCCAAATCAGCTTTCCTTGTATTTTAAGATAACATGCTTAATTTTTTGTACCTTTTCCTTTAAAATTTGTACTTAAGACATTATTATGTATGGTTTATATAATGGTATATATATATATATATATATATATATATATATATATATATATATATATATATATATATATATATATATTGTAGACTGTGATTAGTTTCTAGATTGTACTTCAAAATATTTAATCTTTTTTTAGAGACATCAGAATCGCACATATATAAGTTTGCTATATGATTGTAAACAAACTGAACGTTCACCAATTCAACCATATTCGTTTATTTGTTTGGTTAAATATAAACGAACGAATATAAAAAAAAAAATCATTCATATTCATTCGTTTTATTTATAACTTTAGTTATTGGACTTTTCATTTTATTATTATAGCGAGTTTCCCTAAAAAATATACATCCATTTATATATAACAAATCATGAAACAAATCTAGTTTAACAAATATTAATTAAAAAAAAACAATTTTATAATATTAATGTATTTTTTTAACGTATGTAATAGATTGTGATTTCTTAAGTTAATTTACAACTTTTATTTGTTAATTGTTTCAAAATTACTAAAATAAAAAGAGACTAAATATAAAATAAAAACTTTGAGGTATGTATATTTTGAAAATCATTCCAAATAAAAAGGGTAAAAAGTAAAATATAAAATTTAATGGAAAAGCATAACATGATCATATGATTGTATTTCAAAAATTTATAATATTAGTTTACTAATTTCAAAGTAATACACGAAACAATTCGTGCAGAGGACCCTAATTTATTTCTTAATTCTTTTTCTTGTTAGCCACTATTTCCCCTTTTACTTTTAGTCAAATGACAAAAAATCTCATTCATTATAATCTAGACTAGATATCATTTTGGTTTAAGAGTTGTATTATTATTATTATTATTATTATTATTATTATTATTATTATTATTATTATTATAATAATAATAATACAAGTTGTTATATATTTTACTTTTCCGTTTAGAAAAAAACATTGTGTTTTTTTTTTTTTTTTTTTTATCTAAAAATCTCTTAGCTTTTTATTTTTTCCAAAACAACCTTAATTTTCGAAAAGACCTTTAATATTTGACATGTTAAAAAAATCCCGAAAATATCAAATTGAAAACTTAAGCAAAATATATGTCATCTCCACCTCCCCAGAGGCTGCCGACGTATTTTGGATATTTGTGTAGGATTTAAAATTTTAGAAAAATGATGTTAGGTTTATTGAAATGGAAAAAAACATAGTGTTTTATGTATAAAAAAAAGAGTAAATTACAAGAATGGTCCCTATGGTTTGGGGTAATTTTCATGCTTGGTTCCTAACTAATTTTTTTAATTCGGAAGGTCCTTACTGTTTGTTTTTATTACGTGCTTGATCCCTACTGTTTGTTTTTATTACATATTTGGTCCCTATCATACCTAAAAATACTATTATTTAAATAGGAAAAAATGATGAGGTATGTAAGGTAAGGTGAAGGAGTGGGATTGAGTGTATGTTTATTTAAATAAATCAAAAAATCAAGAGCAAAACAGTCTTTTTAGGTAAGACAGGGATCAAACGCGTAACAAAAACAAACAGTAGGGACCTTCCGAGTTAAAAAAGTAAGTTAGGAACCAAACACGCAAATGACCCTAAACCATAGGGACTATTCGTGTAATTTACTCTAAAAAAAAGATGTTTATGGTTTACGTCTAATAAAAAATAAAATGTATGAAATTTATGAAAAAAAACTAAAAAATATATTAAGTTTGTGGGTTTACCACTAAAACCAGGTTTAAAAAATGATGAAAACAAGCTTAAAACATTTGATGAATTTTTTTTTTATAAAAACAATATTATTGTTATATTTTTTATCTTATTAAAAAATAAGTTTAAAATTAATAAATTAATAAAGTTCTTAATAAAAATATAATTATTAAATAATAAAGTTAATAATAATTAGGTTATTATGAAGTATACTTGATACAAACACTTCTCATTAGAAGACCAAGTCTTCTACTTTCTTTTTGCCCATTAGGTTGGAGAGTGTGGCTGCGGTGTGAGACTGTGGTTTGTGCTAGCTGGACCGCGCACACCGCCCCCAGACTGTGGTTTGGTACGGTTTTGGCCGCACTGTGGTTGGGGAGTACCGCGTCATATGATTGGCTGGTGGAATAATTGACCGTTAATCCTTTTGTGCGTTTTTTTCCTATGATTGGCTGGTAGCACCACTCCCTCCAGCCTTAGGCCATCCGTTATACATATCACTAACCATTATAGTGGTGGGTGTCATCTCATCACCATATTCAACCACTAAACCTATGGGATACCTACCATTATATTCTTCTTATTTTTTTATTTTTAAATTAAAAAATATATATTTTTTAATTAATAAAATGTAGAGAAAGGTAGAGAGAGATAGAGAGACATGGAGAGAGAAAAAAATTGATTGGATGTTATTGTCTATTCTCCCCACCATATTTGACCATAAATTTTTCCACCACCTAGAGTATGGGGTGGTGTTCACATTTTTTGTTTGTGGCCACATAGACCACGAACATGCTCGTTATGAGTATACCATAAGAACATATGGTATGGGCAACTTGAAGTGGTGTTATGACAATAAACAATAAGAAGATGGGTGGTGTTCATGGTGTTATAATACCATGTTAAGAGGAGAGAGATAGAGAGAGAATTTGAACAACCAATAGAAAATCACGTTGCATTTAGTCCTCCGGGTGAGTTCAAACGAAGCAAGGCCTATATTGCAATCGAACGATACCTAGCAATCAACTCCTCCGATAGAGCTAAAAAGCTCAAAGCAAATGTGATTAAGGACGGAAAATCTGTTGTCCTGAGCATGGACGACTACGAAGAGGTCACAGATGAGTTCCAAGGCATGAAAATCTGGTGGAGTTCGAGCATAACAATCTCGCAACAACGGTCTCACTATAGTAACGATGATGGCGAAAAGCGATCCTACAAGCTCACTTGCCATCGTAAACACAAAGAGATCATCACCAAAGTCTACCTGCACCATGTGCTTGATGAAGGAAAGGCCATTGTCATGAAAAGCAGGCAACGAAAGCTCTATACCAATGGCAACATGACCTCGTGGAATCACATCATATTCGAGCACCCTTCTACGTTTGATACTCTTGCAATGCACCCGGAAAAGAAGAAGGATATTTTGAATGATCTGATGACATTCATCAAGTCGAAAGACTACTACAAGAAGGTGGGAAAGTCATGGAAGCGAGGATATCTTCTTTATGGTCCTCCTGGAACTGGGAAGTCTAGCATGATTGCTGCCATGGCTAACCTTCTTGATTACGATATCTATGATCTTGAATTAACCTCCGTGAGTAATAACACGGATTTGAAGAAGCTACTCATCGGCACAACAAGTAAGTCGATAATTGTGATAGAGGATATCGACTGTTCACTTGATCTCACTGGTCCAAGAAAGAAGAAGGAGAAGAAGGATAAGGAGAAGGAAAAGGAGAAGAATCCGGATCAGAAAAAGGAAAAGGATAAGAAGATAAAGGGTAGTGAAGTAACTTTGTCAGGGTTGTTGAACTTCATTGATGGGCTATGGTCGGCTTGTGGTAGTGAAAGACTGATCGTGTTCACTACGAATCACCTTGAAAAGCTTGACCCTGCTCTTATTAGGAGAGGAAGAATGGATAAGCATATCGAGCTTTCCTATTGTTGTTTCGAAACGTTTAAGGTGTTGGCCAAAAACTATTTGGATCTTGAATCACACGACTTGTTTTCACCCATCAGTCGACTACTGGAGGAGACAAACATGAGTCCAGCTGATGTTGCCGAAAATTTGATGCCAAAATCATCTCAAGAGAATGCCGAGAGTTGTTTAAACCACCTGATCAAAGTTCTGAATAAGTCAAAAGAAGAAGCAAGGCTGAAAGCTATGGAAGATTCTAGGGTTAAAGCTTCCCAATCAGAATCAAGTATTGTAGAATCAAGCGATGAAGAATCAAGTGACGGAGAGGGTTGATTTCAAAATGGGACAGGGTTTTTCAGTCTATAGCTATTGTAATGTTAGCATATAAAATATTATTATTATTATTATTATTATTTCTTTAATTAACAGTTTAGTTAAGTTAACGCTTAGATTGATTGTGTATTTTTAACTCTTATTATCTCTTTTCTGTGTAATCTTTCTCTTGTAATAAAAGAGTATTTATTTTATTTATTTATATTTGTCATTTGTTACCATCTATTGTTAGTATTATATATCTCATAACTAATAATTAATGTTTTGTTCTTTTGTTAACTTATGAATTCTCTGTTTTAAATTTTAAATGTTTTATTTTAATTATATTAAATTAATAATATTATAATAAAAAATTAAATTAAATTAATACAGATCAAAAGATGATTTAGTTTAACGTATTTATTTAAATCAACGATTATAACTTTATGTAATTAAAAAATATATCTTAATTAATAATTTATTTAAATAATTAATTAATAATTTTAAATTTTTATTAGAAAAAATTAATTAATTTTATAACTATGATTCATAAGATTCATAAACCAGTTTAGCTTATAAATTTAGTGTCTTTACGTGTTAAAGTATAGTGTATACACCATATTTTTTAAAATATTTCGGTGTAGATTTTCTTTAAATAGTACTGATAATACTTTTTAAGGACATTTTATTTTGCTAGAAAAATTTTCCTCAAAACTTGATGATAGTCATCGGTTAAATTTATCTACACATAAATCATATCAATGTCAGGAGTAAATTACCTGTAAAGAAAAATTGAGCACCTATGTGTTAGTGTAAGTAGGTAGGTTTTACATTAAGGAACAGGTAAATAATTTGGGGTTTTATTGTATTTTCATAACCTAATAATTTTTAATTGTGATTTTCATCATAATACCACTGTTTTTCTTACCATCATCATATTTACCCTGATACAATCATGGGAAACAGATGTGAAAGAGAGATCGAGAGAGGATGAGAAAACTTGTCAAACTTTCGTCTTGGTTCGCCGCCAAATGTTGAACTAAAAAGTGGGGATAAAATGTATAAACACAAACAACACATGTCTAATTAAAAGGGTGTGAAATGTAGAGAATGGGTAAGAAGGGCATTTTTTTTTTAATTCTTTATTTTTAGGATTGCATAAAGCCAACAGAACCTTGGTTCTTTCTATCTTTATTGATTATCTTTATTTTTTCAATATCCGTTTGTTGAAATTAAAAAACACTATTAACATGAAACAAACATTAAGAATTTCAATAAGATCTAGCTGACCAAAACAGGTTTCAATAACTCTTATGTTTAAAAACTATCATACTATTAAATTTCTAATAAAAAAAGGATATACAATAAAGTCTCAATATTTTCAATAATTCGACCAAAAAGTTCAAAATTTTATTTTTTGACTCTAAAGTCCTGATTAACGGTTTGACCAGAAAGTCCTAAACTTTATTCTTTTGATAGTAAAGTCTTAATTACCAACTAACCAGGAAAAAATGATAAACGTGTCAAAAATCGCTAGTAATTAGGATTTTACTATAAAAAAAATGTTCATGATTTTTTGTCAAATCCATGAACATATTGACATTTTAGTATATATATCCATAATATTGTAGTTGATGGCACTTTCACATAATAGAATTAAAAAGAGAATAGAAAAAAAAAGGACACCTTGTTAAGCTAAACTGGGGTTGTCAAGATCGGTCCTATATGAATTTATCTCCATTAAACTTCCGGACGTTTAAGAAGACAACTACTTTTTCAATCGTATATAAAAATTAAAAATCAAACATAAAAAGCTCGTTAGAACCCAAATAAGAATATAACTCTCCATTAAACTTCCGGACGTTTAAGAAGACAACTACTTTTTCAATCGTATATAAAGTTAGTGGTAATAAATGTTTCCTTCATTTGTATGTTTTTTTGTCTGTGAACAATAATTTTGGGATGGAGATAGTACTTGTTAAATGTGATTCGAGCATCTGAAGCATTCTTATGAAACATTTGTGTAACACCTGGTTCTGAAAGTGCTTCGTTACTAGGGGTTGCGGCCCAATCATCAGTTGTCATGAGATTAGGCCCTTGGGAAAGGAAGGTTTTGGCCCATTTCGGATGTGAGTATTAGGGCATACGAGATCTAAGTATTTGATTGTGGCTTCGGAGGCCAAGGGCATACTCGTAAATTGACATCTCGGTCTTCTGAATATTTCGGGCTCTTGTTCGGGAAGTTTTAGGTAATGAGGAGTTGCTCGTAGCGTAGGGTTTCTCGCCACCTTTTCGTGGATATAACGTTCATCAGAAAGAGACTAAGAACGAAGAAGTTATAGCACTTGGAAGTTATTGGCAGTTTTAGTCCTTAATGAAGATTTGTGGCATGGTGGTCCTATGCATGCGTCTGCTAGCTGGGTACACCCAGCGTAAGCTGGGTTATGCCCCGCGTATAAGGGAAGATGGTTGCAGATGCGGAGAGGCATACGACTAATGTATGTCCAGAGTCCCTAAACCCTAAATTTTAGGGTATGCCACTATATAAAGAACATTATACCCTCAAGGATCAACCTCTTTCTCACCCTTAGATAGTTTTCACGAAACCCTAATCTTATTTGAGTATTCTTGGAGCTAAGAAGGCCATTAGAGATCATTTTGGTGTTGTGACCCATTTTCCAAGCAAGTAAAAAGCAAGCAAGGTGATGGTTCAAAGGAGAGGTTCTAGATATGGGATTGTTGCTTCATTTTTGAAAATTTCAAGGTATAAAGATCTAAACTTGGTGGTTACTTCCTTAGATCTCTTAGGTTGAGTTTTTGGACCATTTTGGTCCAAAGGATGATGCTTTATGGTTTAACTCTGATTCCTACGCTTGGAGTTGCCACCCTCAGTGCTAAATGAGTCCCTAAGGCAGCAAGTTGTCACATTAAGTGTCTTTAATGAGTTCATGCATGAGATCTAGCCAATTCTATGGAAGTTTGTTGCTATATTCCAAGTTTAGGTTTATTTCGTCTGTTGCAAACCACCAAGTAATCGACTTTATGGATTAAGATGTTGAAAAGGACTTGGATTTATGATTGTAGCTTCTGGATTAGAGTATTAAGCACTCAATGGGAAAAGTGGCTTAACAGGGAAGTACGTTGGGAGTACATGTAGGTACGCATAGCATACACGCCAATACGCTTAGCGTACAAATGAGTACGCCCCGCGTACTCATCAAACATGGGCTTGACGTGTTTTGGGCCTCGGTTTGGGCCATGCTTTGGACTTCCAGTCTTTGGGCCTCAGTGGGTCATCTTAAGTCAGATAATTTAGGCCAAGAGTATGCTTGTGCTTAAGGAAAGGCTTATTAAAGGGATTGGGCTCAATTTAACAAATTAGGCCATTAGTGGGCTTGGGAAGCCTACTTAGTGCTGGGCCTTTTTGTATTATGGTTTTGGGCCTTAGATATGGACTAAGTTGGACTAGGGGTAAAATGGTCATTTTACCCTAAAGAGGATTATTTTTTTGGACTAATTCTTATTTTGGGTAATGGTAGCTCGGGGAGTCGAGAGATCAGCAGTTCGGGGATCTGCCAGCTAGCAGCGAAAGGTTTATTCACAGGATTCTACAGTCAGCTTGTGAGGTCAGTTTTCTCCTGTAGGAACGAGTCTAAGGCACCAATTCCGACCCGTTTATGTATGTTAGTGTATTCCAGATTTAGATCCGATGTTGAATTTAGCCCGATGTAGTTTTTATGCTTCCGGATTACGGTCCGATGCCGAGCGGGGCATGAGGAAGGTTTACATGCATGTTCCGAACTACGGTTCAATGTTGGGTGATACCCGAGGAAGGGATGCATGTTTAGTTATACCTGTTGTGTTTGTGATAGTTTTATGTGCCTTGTAGGGAGATGAGTATGACCGGGGGCCCGTATCTCATCACTAGCTGAGTATGGACGGGGTTCCATATCTCATTAGTAGTAGAGTAGGGGCAGGGCCCAAGATAGGCAGGGCCTTGAGACTAGCAGTTATAGTGTTGTGTTGCCTGTTATGTACTAGCTTGATTATGATCATATGTTTGCATTTGTATAGTGGGCGGGGCCTGATGTCGGATGCGTCCGATGTCGGGCGGGGCCTGAGGTAGCGGGTTAGGCTCAATGTTTGTAGTACGTGATTACATGTATGGTATGTGGTAGTTTGGGGAGACTCACTAAGTTTCGTGCTTATGATTTTCAGTTTTGGTTTCAGGTACTTCTAATTGCAAAGAGAAGAGCTCGGGATGACTGCATTGCACACACCAAAATGTTTTAGCCTGGGATGTTTACTCTAATGTTTTGAAACTCTGATAACAATGTTTAAGATATTATAACTTATGTTTTGAGGAAATGGGTTGATAACTGTGGTTTTATTATTAAATTAAAATAAAATTTTGGACTGTATTTTTGGGATGTTACAATTTGGAGCACTTAGATCTTAATGGATCACTTGAGGTTCATGGAGCAACTAACAAAGGAACGGATCATCTGAGATGGCTTTGGATCACCAGACAAAGGAACGTATCAAGTGATAAAGAAACAAATCTTCCAAAAGGAGGTTTGGAGCAACTTTGAGTGGTTTGGAGCAACTGGGAGTGGCTTGGAGCAACGTGAAGCACTTGGAGAAACATAGAGCACTTGGAGCAACATGGAATATCAAGTTGCGCCATGTGGAAGGAAGTTGAGCCATCCTTGGGGAAGTTGCGCCAAGGTGATGTTGAGCCAAGGAGATGTTGAGCCATGAAGATGTTGTTGCTCCATCAAAAAGGGAAGTTGCACCATGGAGGAGATGTTGTGTCATCATGAACCATCATGGTACATGATGCGCCATCTTGATTCCTTTGTTGTGCCATGTTGATCCACGTATGCTTAGATGATGATCATGCTCAATAAATACACCATGTTGTGCCACCATGATGGATGTTGGACCATTAGTGTGTTAGTTAAGGACTTCGTTTTCTTTTTTTGAATATTCTTGTAAGAAAATTGAAGCATTCCAAAAAT